ACTGGAAGCTATCACCCGTATATCAGAATCGTCAACACAGAGTTACAGATAAGATGTATCATTTAATTCCTTCCAAAGATAAACACTATGCAAATATCCACGAAACGGCAGGTGTAGTCTTTTCTGCTAGTGTTTTAAAACACTAATTTAAGCAACGTTATTTCGCAATTTCGATCTTTTGTAAACCTGGGGTGATGTATCAAGGTCTAAAGTAACCGTTTTATCAATTTTTGAAAAATCAAGAAAAAAATGAAAATTTCCCTTCTCGCTACCTTAAGGTGGTTATGATATTGAGAGAAAACAAATGTAGATTTTTTTGAACGAGTTTTATATTCTGTTTTGTGTGATACATGCTTTATAAACGATGGGGATATGCAGGTATGTAAATGTACTATAAAACAGCCATTGCGAGCGTCGCTGCGAATTCGCAATGGCGAAAAAACTGGCGATTGCGAGTTCGCAATGGCAAAAAAACTGATGATTGAGAGTTCGCAATGCCACAAAAACAGTCGACTGAGAGTTCACAGTAACACATAAAACAAAAGGCTGATTTATATTGTTGAGTGTTGCAGTGGAAAATAGAAAACAGTTTTGAAACGTTGTGTGAACCATCAAAGGTATGCCGACAGTCAACCAATGGTAGATGTGGATTCACGCAACTCTGCTGTTACATTGTACCAAACATGAAGCAGAGAGATTTGACACAGCATAATAAAAGTCAAACTCTCTTGCGAGGACGTTTCATTTGGTGAATTATTTGAGGAAAAAACGTTCCGCAAAGCCATTGTATCCATAGTTCGAATTACAAAACGACCCCAAACGGTGGCGTACATGCAGTCTGCAGACAGCGGTACGTTTCTCCGGCAAACTGCACTGCAATCTGAATCATTACAAATATAAAAACCTGGGCGTGATTTTATTTTTGTTCTCCCGTTGTTCCATGGTCTAATCTACGATTGTCGCGAAAAATTGAGTCAATTCAGTTCCCGGGGTAGTTGTTTATTTGAGGTGTTACTAATCACTTGCATATGTTGCAGAAATCCTCGTAGTTTATTTATTTACAGCTATCACTAATCGCCAGAAGCGTCAATGTGTATAGCGGTCCAGTCAGGGATGCTTCAATAGAATATTGATCAGAGCTACGAGACACTTCGTAACGACAGAACTTATAACGGAGCTAATACGTATCCTGTTACGTATCCTATATATTTGCCATCCTTGTATTGTTGAACTACGATGCCACGACGATGACCGGTAATATATGCACGCTGGTGTGTTCGCTACGGTAAACAATAAGCAAACTCTTCACTCTCGGTCGCAACCTCGAAATTGTAACATTACTTACTGGCGACATAAATGCTACAACTGATGCGTAGAAATAGTAAAGATAATATATATTTGAGACGATGTTTCGTGAAAAATACTGTTAGAAAGCTACACATCAAAAGACCAAGTTGAGTTCATCGGGGGGTTCATCGCCTACTACGTGAATTCACGTCTGTGATTGGATAATCACTTGACGCGTTGGCGAGATCCCATGCCCAGTTGATAAGTTTTTTTTTTAGCATATAGTTTTTTTTTCAACGATTGTTTTCTGCATATGGCCCGCGATCGATCTTTTTTCGATGAGATAGTTGTTGGGTGTTTACCAACTACGTACTTCAAGTTTCAGAAACAGATCATATAGGACTATGTGCATTCGTCATGACACAAAAACTGAACAGGAAACATCAAAGCTACCTTTGGAATTGATCTACATTTACCTCCCGTGGTATGGGCGAACCTTAGTTTTTTTTTTAATTCGACTGATTATTCAAGTACAGCAAACATTCTCTGTGCACAGATACTGTGGAATACTTTATTTTCGCTGGAATTAATTTTCGCTGAAAAGACTTTTTGGGCGTTTTGTATGGAACTTATTTTCACTGATGTTTGATGAATTTAATGTGAAATATAGGAAAAAAAGTACATTCGCTGGATTTTATTTTCACGGAATCATCCATTCAGCGAAAATAACGAAAATAAATTCCAAGCGAAAATAAAGTATTCTACAGTAGTCAGCATGCACGCTTATTGTTTGTGTGTTTAAACTGCGTGAAGTAAAATAAACAAGTCATTTCTGGCGACAAGGCAACTTGTGAGAATCCGAATTCCAAGTCGGGTATATTCAGTTTCGTCTAGAGTGACGTGTTCTACGCTGCTGTATTCAGTTTTAGGACCTGACGTCTTTATCAGCGAGCGGACACTCTCCTCATTTTGTTACACCAGCTGCCTTAATATTTACAGTAGTTCATTTACAGTTCGTTCGAGCTTGCAGTTTGTATCATGGGTGACATAAAATAAATGGGCCAGGCAACAAAGTTTCTATTTGTGACAACAGGCATTTTCAAAAGAATAATTACCACAGAATTGACACACATTGAAACATGGTCTTCCAAATTACAAAACAATGTAGTCTACGGTCATGGCAGTAACTTTTTAAAATAAAGGTTAAAATATTATACGTATTAGATACTCTCTGAGTAAGCAGGTGAAAGTCTCCCTCTGCATTTCAAAATAGAGTTTTATCATCTTTACTGAGCTATAAAATTGCTGCTTGAACATATTTTTACAAATGCTCAAATGCTCAAGGTCTGTATTTTTGTGGTTCGTTTGAATGTGTTTCCACGGGGAATTGCGTAAATAAATTAAGAACAGAAGTCGGAATGTAACAATGTAGCAAGATGCCTCACTTTGTCGCCTTGTTAAATGCACGGCTGACTTCTCGTACTTTATACGCAAAATTACAAACAATGACGGCAGATCATTGTTTAAAGGTAAAAATTCACGGCCCAAAGAAGGTGTTAAGTACGTGACTGATGATACCACTGGAGTCAAGTGACCTGTTTGCTACACTCCTCATTACCATTTCAATGATTGTGTGTACTTTGCATCATGCCCGAACGGAAGATGTGTACGATACATTCGTTGTTTTTTTAATGTATTAACATTCATTACGCGACACACCATGAATGTGCATTCGAACCCTGACATTCGAACAGATTGTATTAGATGTATAGTATATTCTAATGTCTGCGGTTCACGCAGGCGGCGGCGAATACATGAACATACATCTATTGCACTGTCCATGGAGCTCCATGCACTGTCAAACACGGTGTTAAATCATGAAAAATGCAAAAGACAAAAAATAAGTTGTTAAACAAGATAGTCAAACATTTGTACATTTAATATATTAACATTAGATACGAACACGTATCGAATATAATTTATACCAAGGCTGGATCGACCAAACCAGGGCCGGAACGTAGAAATTTGTACATGGTATCAAAACTTACCAGAGGGTAAATTTGCTGAGACAAATGGCGACGACACGTTTCCGCTTGCATTCGCAAATGAATTGAACCGCTTGGGAAATCCCATTTCTGCATCAAGCTCTAGACTGCTTAAAATTATCAATTTCGTAAAAAAGACGCATCGGAGATGAATGTCGTATATTGGAGTACTTAGTAGGGCCACTCATTACAATTACGTGTGATCTCAGGGAAATGTGTACAAAT